AATGACTATGATTAAGAAGACAAAAAAAAAAAAAAAAAAAAAAAAAAAAGGAACACCAATAAGTGTTGGTGAAGATTTGAAGAAAAGGGAACCTCTGTGCACTGTTGGTAAGAATGCAAATTAGTGCAGTCCTATTGAAAACAGCATGGAGTTTCCTCAAAAAATGAAAAATAGAACTTCCATGTGATTCAGAAGTTCCACTTCTGGGTATTTTCCCAAAGAAAAAAAGAGAATACTAACATGCAGCCCCATGTTCATTACAGCATTGTTTACAATAACCAAGATATGGAAGCAATGTGCATTTATTGATAGATGTGCCCCTATTATGAAGGAAATGTGCACCTCCACATGCACGCAATAGTCTATGACTTAGCCATAAAAAGTTATTGCCATGTGCAAAAACACTGGGGAGGACCCTGAGGGGCTCAGTGGTTGAATGTCAATCCAGGAACCAAGACATCATGGTTCAATTCCTAGTCAGGGCACACAGTCTGGGTTGCAGGCTCGATTCCCAGGAAGGGGCATGTAGGAGGCAGCCAGTTGATGATGTTTCTCTCTCTTTGATGTTTTTATCTCTCTATCCCTCTCCCTTCCTCTCTCTCTAAAAATTAATGAATAATAACAACGCTGTTCAACTACCTTTTTACATATCTTGATTGTCTTTAAATTAAGATATAATTGACATTAATTTCAGGTGTACAACACAATGATACAGTGTTAGTGCATATTATGAAATGATCACACAGTTACAGCAATTGGCCAACTAAATTTTTGTATACCTATGCTATGGTTAACATGTAGTCATTAAAAATCAGATTTAATATTCACTAAGTGATTTTTTCTAGTAGTAGTACAATGGGCATGGATCTAACATTCTCTTTGTATTTTTCCATATTTTATAGTCTGAACAATATCTGTTACTAGAAAAAAAATCAAATATACTTTTTCAAAGTGGTTTATTTTGCCATTTCAAACCTCAACATCCATCTACAGATAATCAAAACTTGAAGTTCAACCAAGCTTTTGATTTATGCATTTGAGTTATAATCAAGTCAAAATGTCACAGCTGCCATAGCAGCTGTCTCTGGCCATCACTATCTTCGTCTTGAACACACTAGGGGACAAGAGAATTCAGAGTTCCCATCTGTGTGGCAATTTTTCTGGGCCCCACTTCTGACCTGGATCCTGGACATTGTCATTAAAGCTCCTCTGACTATAATTTATAGCTACAGTTGTAAATCCATGCATCTATTGCACTCTGCTCATTTTGCATATGGGATAACTGGGGCCCACAGGAGTTCAACTTGACACTGAGGCAGAACCAGATCTGGCCTTGGTCTTGGCATTCTTACAATGCTTCTTTGCACTTTAGCAAGCCAATGAAGTCCAAGGTGGGGTTTTGTGGACTGAGAGATTTAGAGGACCCCAAATGTTTCTGAGGGAAAGAGGAGAGCAAAAACTTCTAAAAACAACCTGTTTTTAATCCCCTCTCCAACCCAACTTTAGAACTATACACTAGATTATTATGATCTCTGAATGCATAATAATCTGGCCAAACAGTGTATATCTTATATAATAAAAGGCTAATATTCAAATTGTCCCCTTGACCAGGAGTTTGACCAAGTAGGCCGGCCAACTGCCCATGTCCCCTCCTTCTGGCCAGGCTAGCCGACCCCACCCATGCACAAATTCATGCACTGGGCCTTTAACATACATATACTGAGTGGCCAGATTATTATACATTCAGAGATCATAATAATCTGGCCACTCAGTGTATCTCAGCAAATAGTTATCAAAGAGTATTTATTGAGCACAGTGTAGATTGGAAAGATTATCTCTAGTTTAATGTAATGCTGGGGAAAGGCACTGCAAAGTCTAACTTAATGCAACTGTGTTGAGTAAGCAAAGATGATAAAAATCAAAATACCATTATAACCAAGGCTGGCTCTGCCCCATAACAAATAAACACAATTCTGATTGGGCCTTTGTCCTCCTTGCTCAGTCCCAGGATCCCTATCTCTTGCTCTTGGCTGCTGCCAAGAATGTCCTCCAATAGTTACCCTTGGAGACCTATTACCCTTGCACACCAAAAGCAAGTTCATTTTTATCAAATCGCCACTCTGCTCCTAACCAAGCCCCAACACTACACACTTTCTCCATGAGACAGAGTAAGTGAAGATACACAATGGAAGAAGTTTAAACTTGAGAGTCAAAAGATCCATGTGTGGGTATTTGGCAAGTCCTCAACAAAACACTTAACCCTTCAGGACTCAGAACTCTGTGAAATTCATGACTACTGAGACATATCTGAAGACCAGACTGACTTACTCAGTGACAGCTTTGTGCAAGCCCAGCCTGCAGACTGCAGGGGGGTCGATTCTGGTCACGGGCACATGTTTGTGTTGCTGGCAGGGGGCATGCAGAGGATTAATGATTCTTTCTCATCATTGATGTTTCTATCTCTCCCTCTCCCTTCCTCTTTGAAATCAGTAAAAATATATTTAATTTTTTAAAATATATTTTATTGATTTTTACAGAGAGAGATAGAGAGTTAGAAACATCGATGAGAGAGAGAGACATCGATCAGCTGTCTCTTGCACACCCCACACTGGGGATGTGCCCGCAACCAAGGTACATGCCCTTGACTGGAATAGAACCCGGGACCCTTCAGTCCGCAGGCTGATGCTCTATCCACTGATGCTCTATCCACTGGTTTGGCTATTTAATTTTTTTTTAAGTGGGGTGAGACTGGAAGGTGATCAAAGATGTCTCTTGAGGAACTGACCATTGAAGCTAAAGGATGAGAGGGGGTTATTTAGGGAAAGAACAAGCAGTTCAGGCAGGCCGAGGCCAGAGGCCAAGGAGAAGGAAACTGTTGGAGAGAAGTTTCTTTCAACTGTCCCATGCACTCCTCTCAATCTCTGGGGCAGTTATGCAATCAGCTTCTTCTGGGAACTCCACCTATGTTTGCAAATTAATGTTCCCAAGTCACTTGAAACCAACCCACCTTTAAAAATATTCGTGAACATCTCATTCATCAAATACTTTCACATGTGTTTTTCCCCATCACACATCACTACAGTGATCTCTTATTATGAATTCTTAGTCCACTCTATAGTGAGTGAGTTATGTGTTGGGTGGGAAGCGAGAATCTCCTTGCATTTGGTTCACTGACTGACCAGGCTCTTCAAGCCACAAGAAGACACTACTCCCTGCAATAAATCTGCTGATCTCCTTTTCCAGAACACATCACCAAGGGTGATGTTTAAAACTGTTTGAAAAACACTAGTGAGGAATGCACTCTTTTTCAGCTTCCTGGCTGGGGCATCTATCTGAGGGTGTAAACAGTGTGCGCACAGAAAATGTCCTACCACATTTCAGGAATGTGAACGGTCCTTATCCCTTACTCTGACCCATTTAAAAAATATATATTGTTACTGATTTCAGAAAGGAAGGGAGAGGGAGAGTTAGAAACATCAATGATGAGAATCACTGATTTTTTTACAGGGAGGGAGAGAGATAGAGAGTTAGGAACATCCATAAGAAAGAAAACACTGATTAGCTAACTCCTGCACAACCCCCCACTGGGGATGTGCCCGCAACCAAGGTACATGCCCTTGATCAGAATCCAACCTGGGACCTTTCAGTCCGCAGGCAAACGCTCTATCCACTGAGCCAAACCAGTTTCGGCAGGGCAGCCCCATTTTTTTTTTATTATAAGAAGCAAGAGGATGGTGTGTGTGTGTGTGTGTGTGTGTGTGTGTGTGTGTGTCCTAAACTCACCTAAAAGTTACTGGATGTCATGTGGGGCAGAGAAGAAAAATAAAAGGAGAAAACAATATGATAGAGGAGGATTTGTCTAGAGTGGAACACACCCCGCCCCTCCCCTAGCACACCATCTCAAATTCTGTAATTCAACGCCCACAGTACTCCACTCCACACAGAAGCCAGGTTCTTCATAAGCCCTCAGTTACTAGAGAAGACAGAAAACTTCGAGGAAGGAAAAAATGTGGCTCCTCCCCCTCCACCCCCGAAGGGGAGTTGGGATTGTTAATTTAACGCTTCCGTCCTCTGGGCCGCACTTTCCCCCTCCCCCGCCGGAAGGACAGCATCTGCGGGTGCCCAGGGCATCTATCTCCCTGCAGCGGGCTGCCCTCCCTCCCGGGGCAGCGCGGCCCTGGCACTCAGCGGCCGGCACGTCGGCGTCTGCAGCCTGTCCGGTCCCTCCCGCCCTGTGCACTGCGACAAGACGCAGTGGGTTGTGTAACCACAGTCGGAACACCTACAGGGGAGGGTGGTGAGCTTCCCTCCTGCAGCATCTGTCAAAGGGCACCGGTGCCGGTTAATACAGGACGCACCCGGCAGGGGGACCAGGGCCCTGGGGGGGAGGGGGAGGGGGAGCGGCGCCGGTCCCGCCGCCTCTCCGGCCGGCGAGCGCTGTCAATTTCTCCAGGATCCTTTCAACCCGAACTCTGTCCTCAGCGGGGCCGTGCGGGAAGGCGAAGGACACATGGAGCCCGCCAGGGCACCCTGTTAGAGCAGATCAGGGAAGGGGGCGGCGGAAACTCCTGGATCCTGGGGAGTTCTAAGAATCTCTTCCAGCGAAGCGTCTCGGGAAAATGCCAAGGACATCTCTCCGCTTTTCAATTATGTAATTTACGGGATTGGGAGAATACACATGCACACACATCCAACTATAAGTCTCTAAATAGACAGCATGCCAAGCTCTGGGAGCATCTGATGGATGAATGGCCCTGGCCGCCACCAGGCAGGTGGGCTCCCCCTTCGTCCTCCCGGCCACACGCCGCGCCGGGAGCCGGGTCGCTGCGGGGACGGCGCCCTCTCCGCCCCGCAGGCTTGGTTCCCGCCAGTCCCCGCCGCGGAGTCGCCTGGACCACTGACGGGTCCACCGGCCACGGAGCAGCTGCCCCCTCCCTCCCTGCTCCCTGCCTCCCTGTCCCCCTTCCTCCCACACCCGCGTGCACCTGGCCCGCGGTTACCTGCGGGGCCGCGGCTCTGAGCAGCCCATTGGCCGGCGCCCCGGCGCCCTTGCCGTTTGCCGCGGAGCGATGATCGGCCCCCGGCGCCCTCGCCGCGCCCTCCGCCGGGCCCGCGCCGTCCTCTCGGGGGTCGTCCTCGGGCGCCGGGAAGAGCCCGCAGCGGCGCTGGAAGCGGGCGACGAGCTGGGAGTCCTGCAGGCTCCGCAGCAGCTCGGCCATGGTGCGCCCGGCGCCGCCGCCGCGGTACGGCCTCTGCCAGCACCTCCCGCCCGTGCACCGGCCGCCCGGCCTCTGCCAGCACCTCCGGGGCGGAGAGCGGGCGAGGCCCGGCACCTGCCAACAGGTGCGCCGCTCGGTCCTAGCGCCCTCCCTGCGCGCGGAAGAACCCAGGTGGACGCCTCCACCCTGCGCCGGGCACGTCCGCCCGCCTCTCCTCCCCGCAGGCCCGGGCGCTCCCCAGAGTCTGCCGATTCGACTGGGCGGAGCAGCGCAGGTGCCTAAACCGGCCCTCTTCCCACGGCCGCGCCCCCGCCCGCTCCCGGCCGGCTCAGAGGTGCCACCGAAAGGGGCGGTGCCACCTGGGGAGTCCATCCAGCCGCGTGCAGCTGGTCCCAAGGGTGACCCTCCTTTCCCTCTGGAGCCCAAGGTGGGGTAGGATTTCCCCTCCAGCCCCCAGCACCCAGCCCCCTACTCTTGCCTTTGACCAGTTCCTCCTGGGAAAATCCCCGAGTTGATTCCCTACACTACGTGCTGCGACATCTCGTCACAGGTCCTAGCTTCCCGACCTTGCTCAAGAGCCGAGGAGACAGGTTCAGAGTGGGCCTGAGTCATCCTCCACGGCAGTCATCCTGCCCTGCCCCTGCCCCTGCCCCTGCCCTGTGGTTTGACAACTGGGGAAACTTGTAAGTAGAAAACTTATAGGTAGAAAACTTGTAGGTAGATTTCTTCTGGGCTGCCTGCTTTGAAAAAGGTGTCGCTTGCCCCTCCTCGTCCCCTCCTCCCCCGCCTCTATTTGCACAATGATTCGGGGACCTGGGAACAAGACCTTTGGGGAACTTTAGACCCAAAGAAAACTAGGTGCTGAAGGACTGGGCGGCAGCACTGACATCTCACCGCACCTCCATGTATTTGACAGCCTGCGCAGTGCCTGCTCAGTGGACCTCTGTGGAACAGCTAAGGAAATGACCTGGGGGGATTAGTTTTTCTCTCCTCCCTCCTGAATCTATTCCCAGGGGGGCTGAGATCCCCTGTAAGGGCCTTTGCTTTCTCACAAGGAGTGAGAGACAGCAGTCAAATTGGCCCAGCCGATCTTCCAGCAACAAAAGTGCAATTCGATCCTCAGTCTACTGTTTGCAGCAGAAGGTGAGCCTTTCTCCGCAGCCTGTCCAAAGCCTGCTAAGCGTTTGGTTACACAAATGACTGTCAACAAGCACCTGTCACTACCTTGTTTATTCAGTCTGCTTTTAGTCGAGGAAGTCTCCGGGCTGTAGCTTTCAAGGATTTGGTCTCCCTTGTGACTTAGTTTTCGCTCTCCTTCCCAAAACTGTTTGGAGAGCAAGATCAAGGTGGTGGAGAGAGCAATGAAACTCTTAGGAGATGCCGTTTCCATTTATTTTACAGAAGAAGCACAGAGCAGCCCTCACGATCCAGCTGTGCTACACACAGATGCCCAGTCATGGAAGCAGAAGGCTCCTTCCACATAGTTGCTGTCAATTACAGGCACTGGGGCCAAACCCTGTGATTTAGTTTTAATTGCTGGAGTTGTAGGTCAGGACCTGACCTTTATCTGTGTCAACAAAACAACAACATGTTCTCCCATGAAGACACTTGAATAATGTGTCTCCCATATTTGATCTTCAATTTTCCTTTCTCCCAATTAGGAAACGGTGGCAAAGCAAAACACGGTACATGCAGCAGAAGGCCACAGAATTGTAATATTCAGACAACGCATTTTATCTCCTTGGAGGAGCAGGCACATCTAGTCCCCAGTGACTGATGGCTCAGTTTCCTCCTGTGATAAAACAAGAATCCTCACTTCTTACCTTTCTTATAAGGCTGGTGTGTATCAGGGTCCTTAGCTTATGGCAGCATCACTCAATCTCTTCCTTTGTTGTCACATGGCCTCCCTGTGTGACTCTGTCCAAATCTCCCTCTTCTTATAAGGACACCAGTCATTGGTTAGGGTCCACTCTAATCCAGTATGATCTCATCTTAATGGGATCACATTTGCAAAAATTTTATTTCCAAATAAGGCCAGGTTCTGGTTGGACATGAGTTTGGGGGAACACTATTCAACCTAGCACAAGTACTCACTCTGTGCCATACTTGTACAATGCTCAGTAGTTTCATACTATGACTAATTAAATCACCTTTTCTCCTCCCAGCACCCCTATGAAGCAGTCATTCATCCTCCATGTATTTGACACTGTTCTAGACCTGGGGAAACATCAGTTCAAAATACACAAAGCCCCTTAATTATGGAACTTGTATTTTAGTAGGGGAGACAGATAATAGGACATCAAATAAATATGTGCTTGTTGGGCGTGATAAGTGCTCTGAAGAGAGAAAGCATAGTGGGTGGTGCAGAGAGATGACATTTAGGTAACAAGGTTACTGAGAAGGGGACATTTGTGCAGGAGACCTGCTCTCCTTAGCAAGATCAGGAGAAAGAGCATTCCAGACCAAGGAGACTGCAGTTATAGAGGCCCAAAGCAAAATGTCTTAAAAATAAAACAAACAAACAAACAAACAAAAACCCCCAAGGGCACAAAGAATCTTTTGAAGGTGATGGATATGTTCATTATCTTGACTGTGGTTGTCATTTCATGGGTGTATACCTATGTCTTATCAAATTATAAAAAATATTATCAAACATATCAAATCATACTTGTTAAATATGTGTGTTTATTGTAGGATAGTTATATCTTAATAGAGCTGTTAGAAACATAAATAAATAAAATGCATATGTGTGTGCGTATGCATGTACATGGAAAAAATGAAAAGAAAACACACACACACACAAAAAAAACAACAACAACAACAAACAAATAGGGGGAATTCCCATTTGTTAGGAGCAAATAGGAACTTTCAGGTTTTATTCTGTGTTCTTGACTTCTGTTTGAATTTTTCACAGACATGTATTACATATGTAACTTTTTATACAATTGTTTAACTTAAAACAATGTAGAATACCTTGTGGACAAAAGAGATTAACTGCATAAGGCCCCCCTCCCCCATGGAGTTCCTAAAAAAAAAAATTGTTTTAGAGCTCTTTTACTGGTCACTGGTCAGACTTGGTTAAAGGAAGATGCAGGTTTTTGAGATATGTATATAAAAGAGGTCATTGTGAGCAAGGATACCAAGAGATGATGTAGGCCACCAGTTAATACCTGTCATCCTCACACAGTTAACAATACCCTTGCCACACTCACCTGATAGTAACAATTTTTAATTTTTAAAAAAATATATTTTATTGATTTTTTACAGAGAGGAAGAGAGAGGGATAGAGAGTTAGAAACATCGATGAGAGAGGATCATCGATCAGCTGCCTCTTGCACACCCCCTACTGGGGATGTGCCCGCAACCAAGGTACATGCCATAGACCGGAATCGAACCCGGGACCTTTCAGTCTACAGGCCAACGCTCTATCCATTGAGTCAAATCAGTCCCGGCACAATTTTTAATTTTTAAAATTTTTTATTCTTTAGTATATTTTTGTTGATTTCAGCAAGGAAGGGAGAGGGAGAGATAGAAACATCAATGTTGAGAATCATTGATCCGCTGTCTCCTGCATGCCCCCTGCTGTAGACAGAGCCTGCAACCCAGGCATGGGCCCTGGGCTGGGAATGAAATGGGTGACCTCTTGGTGCATGGGTCGATGATCAGCCACTGAGACACACTAGAGGAGCAGACAGTAACAGCTTTTAAAAACACGTGGCCCAGGGGCTTTTGAGTTTCCAGTTCCGTGACCAATAAGTCATCTTCTGAGAAGGGCTGTGGACAGAGAAGGGTGCAGTGTGGACAGGTGTGGAACCCATCGGGTCTCAGTGTTCTTCTCTGTTGAGGGCAGGGGACTGAGGTCCTTTTAACTGTGACAATGACTGCTGGCCGACAACCAATCTGTAACCGGCCTGAGCACGTAATACTGCAGAGCCCACTCTACACAAAAGCCCTAATCATCCCCCTGCCCTAACCTCTCTTTAAAAGCTGAGAACTCTGACGTCACCAGGCCAAGATTCGTGGTGGCAGTAGCCGATCTAAATATCTACTGCTCTCTCTAGACTAGACATTATTCTGGAGTTTTCCACAGCTCTCCTTATTCTGTATTATTTTATATCCTCCTTTGGTGGTGCATTTCATTGCCAGCTTGGCTCCTGAAGCATTTGGATTTACAACCACTGCATTTATTTTATTTTTTAATACACACATACATAAACACACACACACACACACACACACACACACACACACACACATTAGGGGCCCATCAAAGGAAGATTCCTGCAGGCAGCCGCCGAAGCCTGCCCCACCCACCCTGCCCATGCTTTCCCTCTGGCAGCTGCCTTGCTTTCCACTTTCCCTCCCTCTTCCTTCTATGTTGTCTTCAGTCCTCACTCCTCCCTCCCTCAAAGTATGCAAATTAACTGCCATCTTTGCTGGGTTAATCTGCATACTCGCTCTGATTGGCTGTGGGCATAGCAAAGGTACGGTCAATTAACATTTTTCTCTTTTATTAGTATAAATATATCATTGACTTCAGAGAGGAAGGAAGAAGGAGAGAGTTAGAAGCATCAATGATGAGAGAGAATCATTGATGGCTGCTTCCTGAATGCCCCTTACTGGGAATGGAGCCTGCAACCTGGACATATGCCCTGACAGGGAATGGAACCGTGACCTCCTGGTTCATAGGTTGATGCTCAACCACTGAGCCACGCCACCCGGGCTACATCCATTGCATTTAAAACAAGGAAGGTCAATGCTAGTTACTAGCAATGTTGTCCACTGAAATCCCATCTCCTAAAGTTGGATCCAAGAAGAAACCACAGTCTCTCACCTTATGGAATTTCAATGCAAGGGAGGAAACAGGAGAGCCATTTGTACCAGTAAATCTAGTCTTAATTGGTCTCCAAATCTTCTTCCTTAGCATAGTTAGTGATAGTAAATGATATTGCATTTGAATTTCCTTGAATGTATTTACATTTCACCCACCTGGGCATTTA